TTATGCTTTGATATTTTCATATTTTTTAGTATAACTTAAACATATAATAATAAAAATATATAAATTTGATGCATAAAATAATCATAAGAAGATAGTATTGTTTACCTCAAGATGAATTTAAATAATTTTTAAATTAATTTATATATATATGCAGCATAAATTTAAGAATATTTAAGTCTCTTAAATATAAATTACATAATATAATTTTTACGCATTTTTTTATTTTTCATACTTATTAATATTAGCGGACAATGCCAAAGTTTAAATATTGGATGTGACGTATAATCCCTCCCTCTACTGTCACTCTTTAGTCTTTACTTCATTTTAAGGGTCACTATAAATGTAAAAGCAAAAGTGTTGTGCGAATCTATCGTCTCCGACCGGTTGATGATAGTATTGTTTAAGAAACGTGGCGGAACCAAACTCCCTCCCCTATTGTGGGCCCCGCTGAAGCTGATATTTTTTCCTTTATATTTAAGCTGTTTTTTTCCCCTTTATATTTGACTTTTTTTAAAAAAAATTATTGGTATGAATATGATAAAATAATTATATTTTAAACACCCTTATTTTTTGTCAATATTTGATCCAAATCAAACATGGCTCGGACTTGACCCAAAAGCTTTTGGATTGAGGTGAAATCGTTTTGCAAACAAGTCGGATTTGAGTTTTAGTTTATGTTCTGTTTATAATTTTGAGTCTGGTTCGGATTCAAGTTAATAAGAAAACCTATAAACAATCTGAAACTGACCTGAGTCACCCCTAGCCTAAAACAATTCCACAGTAACGCCCACATCAATCCCATTAGTGCTGACTTCCGCACTCGCACTCCTGCGTTAGTGTTCATGATCGCCACCACGCACTCCCCCTTCACCTGTAGGCACTCGTGCCTGCATCTGTGTCGTCCTTGGCTGTATTGCAGGTTAGGGGGGGTCTAGTCGGGTTAACCAAGATTATGGACAGGTCAGGTATGAGTTTAGATTTCCGACACGTTTTGTCTTATCGGGTTGGGTTCTAATAGGGTTAACTGAAGGCGGGTTAGTTTCAGGTTATATACGAATCTTATTAGAAAACTCATTTTGACACCCCTACTCTTGACCTACAATAGGGGTGTAAACAAGTCATGCCTAGCTCAAGTTACTTCGGATTTGAGTTTAGCTTAATTAAATAATCATTTGGGCTCGAGTTTTTTGCTTTATTCTACGAGTTTGAGGCAGCTCACGAGCTGACTCATTTATTATGAAAGAGAAGAAATGATTATGATTTAAGAAATCATTATAATTGAATGATTAAAATAAAGAGAAATAAAAAGAAAAATAATAAATAACAATTTAATATAAGAAATTGATATATTATTTTTTACTGTTTTAAATAAATTTTTATTTAAAATTTTGAAAGCTATTATACTTTAAATATATTTTATATCAACTCAAATTTGACTCGTTAATTCCACGAGCTCAACTCATACCTGAGTCTGCTTATGAATCATCTCGACTCACTTACACCCCCAACCTATAATAACTAACAAAATCTTTGTCATGGAGCCGACCCAAAATTTCTCCATTTCATTCAAACCCGTTGTACTCACTCCCTTAGACCAGCCCGCAATAAATACGCAGCTTATTTTCTTTAAGTATTAAAAATACTGATCATGTTAAGAATTTTAAAACAATTTCATTTTCACTTGTTCAAAAAATTATATAGAATATTAAAAATTTATTATTTTTATAGTGTATTCATTTATAACTTTAAAAATATAATTAATTATTTAAAGAGTAGGTGGTCATCTTGAGAAATATGAAAAATTAGGCTTTATTTGAAAAAGCTTTTGGCTGCAATTTTTTTCAATTCTTTTGAAGGTCTTGAAGAGACAAACCAAGCGACGCCAAAATGGGTACAATCTGATCCCAAATATTTCCAAATCAACAACAAGCACTAGTGGATTTATTTCAACTGAGTTAGGCCACGTGATTTTTCTCACTTTCAGGATTTTTCACATAAATATTATAGTTTCTCTTATGACTCTCGTACCTCTCCCTCTTTATCTGTATGTGCGTTTGAATTTTCGTTCAATGTTAAGCTCTTTATCACTATTCCGCCGTTAATATTCTAGGATGCAATAATATCATTTAAATATAATAAACAAGCTCAATAAAATTTCATTAAGGCTTTCTTTGGGACAGCTTTTTTATAGCTTTCTAAAATGATTTTTAGCACAAAAATTTCTTGAACTAGAAATTTTTATATTAGGAAACAACTTTAGAAAACAATAAAAAAACCGTCCCAAACGAAGCCTAAAACTTATTAATAAATTTATGTAAGATAAGATAATATGTGCTCACTAACGACAATATTACGAATTTTCTTAATACTTCACTATAAAATTGCTTGTTTTTTATAAGCATGAGCTATTTGTTTATGCTGGTTAAAATATTTATTAATTTAATAGCTTGTTAAATTTATATCTAGTTTTTAAGCTTAATTTATTTGTTTGTTAATAGGTTTGAGTTGGTTCGTTCAATTAACTAAGAAGTTTTTCGATAGCTTTGCTTATTAATACGTTCATTAAACAAATCCAATAAGCTAAAAATCTGGTCAATTACTTGCTTGATAAGCTCTTTTAATCTTCATTTGTGTCTTACTGCTTTGTTATTAAATCGTTAGCAAATTTTTTATTTAATAACTATTTTTTTATTGCTTTCAATAAATTTGGTCTCAGGAAGTTAGTTTTTACAGCAACTTTTAATTTTTTTTTATTTTAAAATTTTCACAACAATTTTACAACCACATTTATATAAAATTACAGCCATTCCAAACAAGCAATTTGTTAACTAATAAATAGCTAAACATTATGGATCTTTAAATGACTAAAGCTTCATTTGGGATAGTTTTTTTTGCTATTTTCTAAAGCGGCTTTCTAAGACAAAAAGCTGCTTTTAAAAACAGTAAGAAATCAGTTCCAAACGAAGCCGGCCTAAATAAGGCTTATTTATTTGGCTAAGCAAGCTACTCAATAATAAATAGATACTCGTAATTTGAATCTATCTCAAGCTGAGTTCAAATCAAACTCAAACAATCATAATAATTAAAAAAAAAAAACCCTAAACCTAATCTCTTTCATCTTCATTTTATTTTTTTTTATAATTAATAGGAATTAATTATCTCTTTCATATTCACTTTGAATCAATTCAAAGTCAAATTTTTAGATTTCATTTGAGACAGCTTTCTTACTCTTTCTTAAATTAATAAAAAAGATATTTCAAACGAAATCTTAGGCTTCGTTTGGAATAGCTTTCTTGCAGTTTCTTAAAACAGCTTTATAGTATAAAAATTTTAATTTTTGTACTAAAAATATGTTTTAAAAAATATCAAGTTAGCCGTCCCAAACGAAGACTTAATTAAAAATATAGCAAATTCAGCTTGGACATGCGCCTGCCTATTTATGTTCAATTAATTTATAATCCTACTACCTAATGGGAAACACTACTACTTATATTCCAAAGGCGGCATAACATTTGGAGAAAATTATTGAAAAATTTTCAGTCAAAGTAGTGGAATTATAGTATTCACATCAAGAAAGCATAACATTACCAGAATCCAGGCCCACATAAGGAAAAAATAATAATTATAATTTTTTTTTTCACAATTTTTATTAATATAAATATTAAATTTATGTTAAAATAAATATGATGTAAATTTTTATGAACATTTTATATATTATATAAATATAATAAAAAAATTCAGCAGTTTCAAAACTCAACTCTATACAAAAATTTTCCCCAATAAATAACAAAAAATAAATAAATATTTATAAATCACCATTTGTTTTAACTGTCCAAATAAGATGGAAATGATAGAAAAATTAACTCATATTTTGATCAATTTTTTTATTAACATAAATTAAAAAAAAAAA